CGCTCCCCTCCCCTGTGGAGACCTGCGAGCCCCCCAGCACCCCAGAACCCGTCCCGGCCAAAGCACCCCTGTGCCCAGGCCGGGAGAGAGCCCCGGGCCTGGGAACCCACCGCGCAGGCAGCGGGGCACAGACGGGGGCAGCTGCCCCCTTTTCATCTCTCGGCTTGGCTGCAAATGATGCCAGAAAGAAGCTGGCCTGGACTAAGCTAAACCAAGTGGAAAATAAACTGTGGAGATGTCAGCTCCTTTTATTAAGTGTTACAATTATTTATTATTTACTTTCAAACATGACTCGGCTGATGCTTCCGCTCTTACAGCAAATCGCTCTTCACACAGGATCAAAACCAACCTGGCAGAATTCACCAAACAGACTAAACAAACGACAAGAAAAAAATACTGCCTCGATAGCTAAACTTTTTGTATCTCAAAAGAAACATCGTTGCTGTTAATGTTATAGCTTCTTAGATCTCTTACTTGATAGGCTCCAGCATGAAGACCTCGTTGAAAACAAAGTTATCTCAGTGCTAGTTCAGTGTGATAGGCAGCAGGAGAACGCCTGAACCCAAGCCAAGAATTAGTTTGGACATCTATCTTATCTATTTTGTTAGGATTATGAAATCACACCCTCTATTTTTATTGTTTTTACTAAATATTTTTACTGAGTGGTTCCTGACAACATTAAATCTTGATACACAAAATCAATGTGAAAAACATCTAAGATTAAACACATAAACCACTTGAGCCAGAAACAAAGTGTCTGACAACACTGTTTTTGTATTTTACATACTTATATCATCATTTTTATCATTTTATCTGAGAAATCCCAGATGGACTCCTCCTCCTAACAGGCAATAACTTCAGCCTCATTGAGTTCAAAGACAGTGTTGACTGAGGGAAACCTTCATGGTCATGTTCATGCCATGCCTTCTGATTAAATCACTCTAACTTGCACCAGAATGAGAGCTCAGCTTCATGCTACATCTCAGGGGATGATGTGTAAAACACCTCTTTGTAACATTTTCCAGCCATTTCACCCCAAAGGAGTCAAGGTCTTTGTCCCAAGGACATCACCACACAGGTGATCCAGCCATAAATATATCTACACAACCCCTGTTTCTGTGCAGACTGAAGTCCAAAGCAGCCTCAGTTCTGGTGCAGATGTGGGACATTGGTTCACAGGCAGGTTTTCCACCAGGACAGAGGGACCTGACTGAGCTCCTCCTCTTTGTCTTGTTTTTTCTACTCATACACAGAGACCGAGGCTTAAATCCCAGGCACACCATGACTATCTCATCTCAGACTGTCTAGGCTCGAGTGAGCTCTCTGGGCCTCAATCAGCTCCGAAAGAAAAGACCTTCTTCCAACCCAGGCTGTGCCCAAGCCCAGCACTGAGCACCCAGCTCAGGTTGGACACAGAGGATAAAAATCCCCTGATGGATCCACTCCTTCCATCCTCACTTCCTTATTGAAAATCACATCTGTGCCTTTGGAGGCTCTATCTCCCAGACTGAGAATTTCTCCTTGCAGTACAACTACAAAGCAGAACAGCTTCTACCAGTGTGAAATTCTGGGAGATGAAGGATTACAGAGGTGGTACACAAGAAGTTAAAAATTAGTCAGGTGCCTCAACACCTTCAGGTGCCCTTTAAGCCCCTTCCTTCGGCATACAGAAGCTTTTTAAAAATCTGATTCCAAACAATGTTGCAAAGGAATTACACAGGGCAAGGAATGGAGCCCACAACTTCCATACCCCAGGCTAAAAGTAACCGGAAAATAAACCTTTCTGACATCAAAATGTCAGCACTATTTTATAATTTTTTTTTTTTTTCAGGGGCTTGTGAGTACCTGAAAGGAAGTCTGAAACCATGCTGTAGGCTTCATCCATCTCAATCCTAATACCATAGCAGAGGAATAAATGTAAAATATTGATATAAGAAAAATAATTAATATTCCTGAAACAGCCCCTGGTTTATGAGAAACAAAATCTCATGTTGTTTTCCCAACACTTCTACCTAAAAAAGGAAACATGCAGAGCTGTGTTTTTCTTCTGGGCTGGCTGTAATTTGCAGGATGATTGAGTAGTCTGAAAGTCAACAGCCCCAGTTTGCTTCTGCACCCCACGGTCCTGAGACAAGGCTGTGGGAAAACAGCTTTCTGGAGCTGAAAAACAAAAACGAATGCTAAGCAACAAAATACGTGTCTCCACATGGCCTGAGAAGCAGCCTAACAGTCCATTTGTATCCCAGTTGTCCCCAAAGCCCTGTTTCCGGACCATGGCTTTTCAAATTCTGCAT